GGCCACTCCTCAAGACCCCGGTGAGGCTCTTCCTGCCCATGGCTCCTGTCCCCGTCTTTTAATAAAACCACCTTTTTGCACCAAATGTGTCTCAAGAATTCTTTCTTGGCCATTGGCTTCAAACCCTAATGTTCTTCCCTACATCACTCTCAGGATGAAGGGGTCATGTAGAGGAAGGATCTTCAGAAACGGTCGAGGACTTAAAAGTAACCTATTCCATCTTGAAAACTAGCGCTGGGTGTACAGGACTACGAATTCCTGTTTCAGTAAAGTAGAACCAGAAAACTCCACTGCAGTCCTTTTTCTCCTTGCCAGCCCTGTGTTATGTTACACCACACCTGATCTACCACCAGGTGATGTAAGGAGAGCCAAACACACCATGACACTGCTAAAGAAAGAGGGACAAAAAGGCCATCTGTATTCTAAGTATGAACTGCTGCCATGAAAAATTCAGAAAATCAGCTTCAATAATTTAAAATGCTTCCTTCATAAACAGATTACTCAACATGCTACCTTTGAGTATTTGACAATAATCAAGAATAATCTGGTTGTTATCATCAAGGACAGTAATGTGACCAGCCTAAGAGTCTCATGCATGCAATATTTTGAAATCTCAAGGTGGAAAGTACAGAAACTTATGGTCCTTATTGCTGTTATCCACCTTATCTCTTCCTAGGGTTTTTGAAAAATCACGTATGTTTAAAGAAGAACCCTTATCTTTTAGAGATACATACTGAAATACATACGGATGAGACGTGATGTCAGGCGTGCACTTCCTACACAGCATGAAAGTGGGGCTCTACAGATGAACCGAGACTGCTGAAACCGAGCAGCGGTTTGGGATGGGGATTTCACTAAACTACTCCTCTACTGCTGTATATGTTCAGTACTTTTCAATAAAAAAATTTAAAGATATTATTTATTTATTTGATATGTATAGAGAGAGCACAGTAGGCAGAGAGGCAGGCAGAGGGAGGGAGAAGCAGGCTCCCCGCGGAGCAGGGAGGCCGATGCAGGGCTCGATCCCAGGACCCCGGGATCATGACCTGAGCCGAAGGCAGATGCTTAACGACTGAGCCACCCAGGCGCCCCCCCCC